TTGACTCGTCTCGTTAAAACATAGGCCACTCACTTGTAGTCATTGCCGAAATTGTTTCGGGCAAATCCACTAGCGTGTTCGTAGCGGTCACGAGCTGAGTTACCGATACTTGAACCTTGGCTTTCACCTAGTTTGTGTTGGTACCTGAGGATCAGCAGACGTTGCAAGAGAGGAAATAATCGACGTATGCCATACATCAGCCAACAGGAGCGCTAAAAGTTTGTCGGAAAGATAATTGGTGGAGGATTGACTCGCTTCATTCAATATAATAGAGTTCTAAAGAGGGTAAGAAAGCAACAGCAACACAACATAAGGAATGGGGTTTCCATTGGCCCTTTTTGAACTCATGGCTTGGTCCGAGCACCTGTTACTCACCGGAACTAGAACCCCAATCAACGCGATGATAACCAACAAGGGGGCGAGCAAGGTCAACGGGATAGCAGGGATCCACGAGCGTCCCTCTCCCTTTTTCGACTCTCTTGCCAAGTCAGAGATTTTCGTCCCAGTGCCATCGCCGGTTTCTGGCATTTATTTTTGCTAAACTCGCAAGACTGGAACTGGGATTTCGAAAAGATCCCAAGTTTTTAAGCAGGTTAGGTTTTTGTGTCGAGGCGAGTTTTGAGAGAATACCAAGCGTAGTGGCTCAATGAGAAGATTTTTCATTGTTTTCCGGGTATCCAGTTGTTCGGAGCCGACACCGGTTGCCTAACCCCATTGAAAGAAGGACGTGGAACTGTCGTGAGGAGCGGGACAACAGCAACCTTTGGAATGACTAGGGCCCTCAGGGGTGCGTGAGCGAGGCATTGCCGTCAGCAAGATGGAATGCCGCCAAGATGAGCGAGGAGATGGCGACGCGTTGCTTTGCAAGGGGGCTGTGTAACTAACGGGGCAGAGAAGGACAACTAACTGCCAACATGCGAATTTTTGAAAACCCAACTTTCATCCACTCGACATTCATCCAAAGGCTATCTTATGTACTTACAAGACCCCCACTCTGGCCTCTTCTGAAGTAGAAGCTTTCATTCTAACTGGACTAATACGAAGACAATCTACCAGACGCCTCCTTTTCGCCTGAACAATGGAGGTCAGTGACCCGGAATCGCAGTCAAGGGGTCTCTTGCAGAGGTTGCCGCTTCCCACTCCGGATCCCGAAGTAGAAGCCAGATTAGATAAAGTGCCTCGGTAATGCATAGCCAGCAATTATTGGTCCATATTGGGAGATTGTGCGTTGAAAGACCAACATTCATATTAAATCTCAATTTTCGTTTGTTTACATCAGCTGGATCTCCGAAACGCCGTCTTCCTCGCGTCTCATCATCCTACGATCCCTCCTTTACGGCAATTCTGACCACTCCATCAAAGTTTTCGTCCTCCGGACCGTGGTGTCAACTTTACGTTTCCGTCCATGGCATTGGATTGCCATTCTCGTTGGATTAGGGTTGGCATTTTTGAACGCATGGTCTGCCCGCACCCAACTCTGCCACGCGTTCGGTGGAACCGGTCAATGGGTCTGCTGGGGTATCACCGCAGACCCTTACGAAATGGCAGGGACACCATCTGCGATCGACTCAGAGAAAACTCTGAGAGAGAACATAAATAGCCTCTACCGGACGTGGACGGTCCTGAAAGTCGTGTCCATAGTGGAAAGCCTGCTCATCTTCTCTTACATCTTTCTCGCTATCACGGGATTCATTTTCCTGTACTTTTGGGACCGACGCAATCGAAAGCCTCGCACCAAACAATCCTGGTCCCCGTACTCGCACGAGAAGTTTTTACGATGGTCATCGCGGTGGGCAAACTTCGTCGCTCTGGCCACCCGGTTTTCCCTTTTGTATGGACTCTCCGGCCTGCATTTGATCCAATACCGCCCGCTTCCTCTCGGCCGCCGTTTTGTACGTCGTCATCCGCGTATCTTTGGTACGAATCCTCAGAATTGGAAATTCATGATCGGCGCCGCACTCTACGGCCTATTCTACATTGTGTGCGTCGTGGTTGGGTGTGCGGCAGTTTGGGGGAAACTGGAGTTGGCACAGGTTGGCGTAACACTGCCTTCCCATTTGGTGTGGGACCCGCAAAACAATTCGACGGCAACTTGGAAGTTCAGTCAGGTTGTTTTGTTTTTTGGCTTGGTGAACAACATTGCTGCGTTGTTTCATCTTGGGGCGCCGTCGAAGGTCACATACCTTTAGTAAGTGAGCTCATCCCTGTTGATGCCGTCTATCATAATTCGGCTGACCCGACTGCATTATCTACCTTCACAGCCAATACCACATTAAACCCCGTCTCTTTGCTGGTGCCCTATTGGAAGAATACGGGTTCGTTTGGGCAACGTTAATTTGGTTTGGAACGAGCAAGGAAGACGTAGCAAAGGCTTTGCAAAGCATTCTGGTGCAGCTGGTGCCGGATGTAGATTGATCGGAGAGTGAACGTTGCTGTAATGTAAATAGGTGTAATGGTGGATCAATGTGTTATTCCAGTGAGGGTTTACGTGGAAGGGCGGGACGGTTGTTTTGTATATACTATGCATTCTGAGAGTCGTTATTCAATACATCAACGGTGAACGTGAGAGGAAGCCAGCGTCGTCGGTGCCACGAGCCATTTGGATGCCGTCGTCTCCCTATCTTTGGGGTCCGGTCGCAACCTCCTCTTCGATGGCGGCGGTATTTCATATCCTTGAGTTTACAGTGTTTCGAGTATTCAGAAAAGAGGGTGCTAGTCAACACTTTGCCGCAAGGTAAGCGGAAAATTCAATCACTACCACCACTTCGAGTCTTTGCGCAGTTCAACTCCATGCCTTTGCGCAGTTCAGTTGTATGCAAGAAAAACCGCTCCCCGAAGGACTGAATTGCCCAAAGGTTGGATGGCACCGCCAAATATGAGTTGGAGTCTCGGAAACGGACTTGCGTTTGGATAATGGCGGCTCGATTTCGCCGACTGCATGGGAGAAATGCTTCACAAGCCAACCAAGCACAACCACCTATGTCTTTCGTAGAACCTCGTTCGATTGATAGGCAATGCCAATTAAACGGGGGCATTGACGCGGTCCAAGAAGCGCAGCATTTCTGGTGGGGAGAGTTAAGTTTTGTGGGGTTGAAAATGGGGTTGCGCCCGTTGGTAGGAACGAATGACCGGACAAGTCGGCTCAAAACGAACACCAACAAAGTTCCGCCATTAGCCCGCTTGTCATATTGCCCCTTGCGTCCGTCTCTTGAAAAACAGAGATGGCATACTTTTCTGGGCGGCGCCTGGACTCAAACATGGACAGTTTCTAACCAAGCAACGGTTACAGGACCTCCGAACAACACGTCCAAGACTTTTGAGCTGTTGTGATTTGTCTAGCAGATCAGACTATATTGGTCTTTACATAGTCGCGAGAACGCAGATAGCGCTGGTTTGATTGCAGAAATGGCACACCGTTACGTTGGGCGGCGATTGCGCAGTCGTTGGATACCGTGTCCTGGTTATGCATTCCACTCACCACCGAGTCCCGTCTCGAGATAAACCGTACTTATAACTTTGCTGAGCTGCCTCAACTGGTACGCTCCAAGTGTTCGGTGGATTCATGGGATGCAGTAACATTACGCCAGTGTGACTCTTGGCATTACATGCGCGCATCGAGGAAAGTGCGTCGTGTACCTACACGGTCGCACAGTTTCGGAAGACCCTTTTGACTTTGCGCCTCTGTCGTCTCTGCCTCGTGCGTCTTGCTCACGTTTAGTTTGCCTTTCCTCCAGCCGCTGGCCAGCTTCAAAAAGCATTCTTTCCTTTTCTCACTCTACCAATAAACAGTACCCAAAACAAATCAACACCCTCACCATTTTCCGCTGCATTAAGAACTCAAACCTCCCCGCCTTTCAACGCACAGACAAAAGCCGCAAATCCTACAGAGCGAGTTGAGATCCCGCAGCATGCCAACCAAAAAGACTTCCGACTCCACCAGCCCACGCAAAAAGCGGAAGGTTGGATGCTATGCACTCGGAGTGGCTGCTGCGCGACAATGTTTTCATTCTTATTTATTTCCTTCCCTAAACATCATACACTACAGACCAGTCCATCTTCCGCCGCTGCTCGACGACTCCCCCGACAGTGGACAGACGAAATGGACGCGTTCGTCAAGGAGAAGGTCCGCGAGCAGGGCACAAAGTTTGCGACGATTTGCGCAGACCTCAACAAAGAGTTTGGACTCAAACCCATCGATGTTTCCAATCGCTGGCACAACAAGTTGAAGAAAGAGAAAAAGGCGGATGGGGTCAACGGGTCGAAGAACGTGGAGGTGGCGGATGGGGTGGACACGTCGAAGAACGACGTCGCAGCAGATGGGGTCAACACGTTGAAGGAGGAGGAGAGCGATGTGGCTGGATGCTGATTGAGCCGTGCGCACTCGCGATGAGACGGTGATTTAAATTGCAGGGTGCTTCGCGTAGGGCGATGAACGGGGCGGCGATGGCGCAAAGGAACGAGCGTAGATTTAGTGTTCTTCTTGGCGTAAACCAATGTACGTTTGATTGTGAACGAGCTCAAAAGAATGGCGCTTGCCGTCAATTTAAGCATGCTGTTTGGCATCGGCATCGCGTGCGCAGTCATGTGAAGGTCCCGCCGTTTGCACACCACGTCGGCAAACGTCTCGAGCATCAGACGCTCAATGTCTACTCTGCTGTTTACACACCACACCGGAACCGTCTCGAGGCCAGACGCTCTCTGAATATTGCGCCGCGGTTCATTGGGACGAAGCAGGGCATCAGAACTGCTGCAATCATCGCGGTCTTTTATATTTTTGGCTTTGGCGTACTTGGCAGAGCTTCAGACATTGGTAGCCCGGCTCGGGGTAGTTGGCGATGTTTTGCGCTTATTGCCCGAAAGTTTGACGTGGATGGAAATAGACGCTGTTTACAAGTTCAAATGGCACAGGTTTCATTTAATTCCTGGGCGGCACAAGATATAAATTATGAAGCGCCTAAGAGAAATCCGGCCTTAGCTTATCCTGCAATAACACATCTTCACATCTTAGTTGGTAGAGCATCAGACTGTGGTGACACTGTAATCTGAGGGTCTCCGGATCGACTCCGGAAGGCCGGAATAGTTGTGCCTGTAGGCCACAGTGGTTCAAGATTTATTTTTTTTATATACGGTGCTCAGGCCGAAAATGCAAGCGGGGCAAAATAAAAACAAGCGACGCAATAACGGAACTAGGGTAGGGGCCCAACCGGGAATTGAACCCGGGACCTCTCGCACCCGAAGCGAGAATCATGCTACTAGACCATTGGGCCGATAGGACTACCTCTTCAGAATAGCCATATATGAGGCGAAATGAATCCGGTGAATAGGAACTGCGCAAATCATTGAGCGTGGAAGCAGAGCCATGGAGTGGCCGGGAATAGGTGAATAGTACCGAGTGGATGACGTTGTGCCCATTTTGCCAAGGTGTAGCCTTTTCATTCCATTGTGAGGTTAGGACGAATGTATTCAAGGTGAGTACAGTAAACAGGATGAAGTGGCAAGCTGACAGAAGGCCGGTATGAACATGGTGATGTCCGTCGGCCAGAGCACAATTTACGCCGCCGGATTCCGAACATGGTGATGCTTAATTTATGTCGCTTCAAGCAAAAACCGGGGCGGAACATGCAAAAAGAGGCTGAGCACACCGTTTACTAGAATACGAACTATTCGTAAGTGGCCGGCTCCAACACATTTCTCCCCGCGCGTGCCCGAAACGGCGGCATCTACCTGACCGGAGATGTAATGCCAAAAGAAATGGAAGACATACAGAGAAAAATACCCCATACAAGAAAAACCGCAATTTTCCAAGCGCGCTGAACATCCCCCCAATGCCCATAAACCGTCTGTTTGTGGAACAGTTCAACTGTTGCCGAAAATCAGAGGATGTGGCCTCGAGTCGACTGCGCAATACAGCGGATGTGTGGGGAAGTTTGGGCAGGTTCATTGTAATACTATGGCTTCGCATGGCATCAATACCATTACTCACATCCGGCACGTGTGGAGTAATCAATACCCCTTTGTCAGTATATTTATTGTTAACGCGGATTGAGGCCGCCAGTCGGGCAAACAAAGTCCTTTGTATGGCACATGGGAAACGCTGGTCAATCCGCAGACGAGCTTCGCGGAGACGTAAACACCGACGTTGTTACAGCTGACGTGGAGAGCTGGGCCGGATACCCCAACTCCCCACAGCAGTTTGCCATATTTGCTCTACATTTGGTTGAACATAACGGACTTTGAACTCGGACGGGTGTCTCAAAGCAAGGGCGGATGGATTTTTTTCGGCGTTCCACCGTCTGCCTGAGATATGCAAAAACCAAAACAACGGCAGCAAGACAAACCAATGGCTACCGACCGGAAGGCGAAGAAAAAGAGTCGGCTCGAGATGTCGGAGAGTCGGAGAGAACGAACCCAGAAATCTGCTCCTAGTTCTGGATTCCATGACGCTGCCTTGGACTGAACGACATCAGAACCACGAGAAAACCATAAGATCGTTCACAAAAAAAGAGGGAAAAAAATCATAACGCGAAGCGAAAAACGACTCAAGCTCCCCTGAATTTTGAATCCACGGGGCCAATTCACGACGCCGAACCAGGATACTAAAATAATTCCTTATTTCATTTTACAAACAAAACCCCACCTAAAAAAACGTCCAATTTATAGTCCCTCGTTCCCATATATACACACAAATACAAAAAAAAGTCAGTACCCGCCGCATCTACTATCGCCTCAACCCGTGGTCCCTTCATCCTCCCCAATAACCTCCAACCCATCACTTTCAATCGAATAATCCTCACTCGACCGTCCTTGCGGCTGATGGAACCCCTCTGCATTCTCCCCACCACCAGGAACATCATGAT